GGTAAGGAATGGGAGGGGGATGGTGGAGCAACAGAGGGGCCCGCCGAAGCCAGACCTGGCCCCGCCTGCTGTTGCCGCGTGGCGGGAGGTGCATTGTGCTCGGCGGCAAGCCCAGCGTTCACAGAAGGAAACTTAATCTCGATCTTGTGCAAAACCTCCATACACTTCTTGACCAAACTTACTTGCGTATCCTGCGATCTCTTCACGTTATCTAGTTCCATGAGAAGAAGCCCTGCGTCTAGCGGACTAAGATTCGGAAAGGCAGTCATCAGAGGGTTCTCGCAACGAGCTCGACCATGAGCGGGAACCACCGGTGGAGAGCCTTCCATTTCTGCCTGCTGCCTCTTCCGAGACTCCGACTCATCTCTCGCCTGCTCCTTTCCCTTGTGGGTGCACTTCGGATCTCCCACCACCTTCTCGATCTCTTTCCATATCTTCTTGTTTTCTTCTTTTGTCCTCGCCTGGTGCTGCTCGTCTAGTTCCTCCATCTTGGCATTGATCATCGTGGCCATCCTGGCTTCTTTCTCAGCTTGACGCATCTCCTCTTCCTCCAAGCGTTTCCCCTCCTCTTCCTTAGCCAAACGGGCTTGCTCCTCTCTGATCTGTCGATCCTCAACTTCTCGTCTTCGATCCTTCTCTTCTCTTCGGTCGTTAACCAATTCTCTAAGCAGCGACACCACCTCACCATCGCTAGATCGTTGCCTTGGAGCCCAAGGCACCACAACAAGCAAAGAAGGTGGAGCTGGAGCCGGCGATGGCCTGTAAGGTACCACGGCGGAAGAGATTGGTACGGATGCCGATGCGGATGACGAACCAGCGTGTTGTTGAAGCACCAGAGCCTGACTCATTGGTGGTGCAGATGGCGCATATGCCGACTGCGAAGCTCCAGAGGAGGCATAAGCCGCGTGCGGCGTGGGATATGGAGGAAGTTCCGCTCCATATCCACCAATTGGAGTGCCCGATATCAGAGCTTCACGCCGCGGATACGGACAGTTCCTAGCGAAATGTCCGGGTTGGCGATAGTTGTAGCATACACGTTCGTAGGGTTGAAACGGACCCGAGAGTGCGAAGGAAACACCCCGCAAACGAAGACGCCGACCACGCCGCTTTCTTGTAGACCCGGAACACGGAGAACCAACTCACGGATAAAACACTCGAAACATCCAACAGGACAGGATTCAAGAATGACAAAGTCACAGGTGGAGGTTAGAATGCAAGCGCGATAGTAGAGTACAGATTCCATACGAGGAAAAACAAAGACAAGCACATGAACGATGAAAGGTGGAGAGATACAAACAATTTCGGCCGATAATCCCAAAGTGAAGTAATATGGGGAAGGGATCGATCCAAAGGAATGATACCAGTACCCCACAACGATTACACCAATCCACGAATGACGAGGTGGTTACAATCATGTATGAGAATTGAGAGGGAGAATTTAAAGGTAGAGAGATATTGAGAGGGAGAATTTTGAAAAGTGGAGAGATACAAACAATTTCGGTCGATAATCCCAAAGTAACGAAGTAATATGGGGACGGGATCAAACCAAAGGAATGATACCAGTACCCCACAACGATTACACCAATCCACGAATGACGAGGTGGTTACAATCGCTACCAAAAGTATGATGGGTGACGCAGAAATTGCGTATACAGGCCGTGATGGCACAATTATGAGAGGAAGATAATCATGCATGAGACGAACTTACAACGAAAACAAGATATTGAGAGGGAGAGGATTAAACATGAGAATGATGACTTGAAATGGAAGCAGGATAGTGACACAGACAAAAGGAAGACATAGAGAGTCATGGACACAAGTACGCGCAAAAAATCAGGGACTTAAAATATAACATGAGAACAATGTCGTGCTGGCCGTGTCCCTACGATCGTTTCGACCGCCCGCTAGTGACGGTCTCGTCAGGGGACGAAAAAACGTGTACCATGGCATAGGAAGTTCCCTGTTAAATACTCTTCCTAAGCTGCGTTACGAAACAACTTCTCGCCATATAGGCCAATTCTGAAAACTCAAATAGCTCACCTGCACTCATCGTCGACACCGAGACTCGAAAAAGCGGGAAATAGAACCAAGGAGAAAGATAATAATAAGAAAAAAGGAAGAAAAGGCATATCCATACATGCCCGAACAACCGCCTTTGTCAGACATACAATTGGAAACAGTTGGAAAGAGCATCAGGCCCGACAACGAGCTCATAGTGGGAAGAGCGGATCAGAATACTTCCCGTTCAAATTGAAATGCAGAATGTCTTGAGAAGAGTAGCGCCGCTGACCAAAGATGACCCGGAGTCGAACTTAGATAACTGTGCGTCGAGGAAGGAAATTTGAAAAGCTCAGAAAAGCGGGAAGAGCAAAGGGAGGGAGAGCGATCACATAGTAGAAAGAAATTTTCGCCGTACGATCACAGATCATAGTATTCCCACTCACTTATGACGCGTCGGCATTCTAGAGCTGCAGACCACACAAAGCTGAGGTTCAAGCAACTGTGCGCCGAGAGAGAGAGAGAGAGAGAGAGAGAGAGAGAGAGAGAGAGAGAGAGAGAGAGAGAGAGAGAGAGAGAGAGAAGGAAGAGTTGGGAGGGAGGGAGTGAG